TCACGGAGGATCGCCTCGACATCGGGCCGAAGCACCCGGGCACACCAAACTACTTCCTGCTTGGGCTGATGGGGCGGCAAGGGCAACAAAGCATTACCTAAGACAGGCTCATGATCGGAGCTGGCACGATCCCTGTACTGCCCAACCATATGGAATTCCACACGAACCCCTTTGGATGCAAAGTAGTCAATGCGCCTGGGCCTCATGTCAGGGTTGTAGGGAAAATGTGATGGGATCTCTACTGCTTGCAGAGGCATGGCAAAATCGTTTTCAAGGAGCCACTGGAGGATTTGCTCTCCCCGACCCGTGCACGACAGGGTGGTGTTCCCTAGGGTTCCCCCGGGCTGAAGCATGGTTTCATTCGCATCCATGCCCAGCAAGGCTCGGTGACATTTGCTTGCTGGGGAAGATCCCCACTGCGACAGCGCATCAGCTGTTTGCGCTATGCTGAATTTGTGCGACACGTGCCCTGAAATAAGACCCAGTGCTCTCTGCTTATGATCACGCAGGACTGTGCAGATGGCAGCCCAATGCAATGTGCTAGATTCGTGATTGCCCAGCACCTTAAGAAAAGCGATTCCACAGCCGCGCCACTCATTTTCCTGCTTGCCGTGGATCAACATCCACGTCTCGTTATGGTCGAAGTGAGGCCCGCCTTTAGTGGTGATCTCTTGAAGAAACACTAATTGCAGGCGCGTCAGCACGGGATCCCCCCGGAATGCTGAGAGAAGGTCCAGAATGTTGTCTGGGCTCATTCCTCCCAGGTTCCAAGTGGCAAAGGCAAGGTTGACAGGCTCTTCTTGAGACCGTCCAGGAGATGACTTCAATAGACCAGGCTTGGAGATCGCCGAGCCCGGACTCGAAGTGCAGTGAAACTGGGGAAAATCCCCGTCCGCGACAAGTTCTGCATCCAATCAGCGCAAAGCCGCTGAAAGCGGCTCCCAGACTCTCTCCAAGCGATCGGCGTCAACGCGAAGCAACTCCGCAATCTGGGCCAAGTCCACCCATCCGCATCCAGCAGGGGTCGATCCCCTTGGGCCCGCCGAGGTGGCCGAGCAGATCTTTTGGTTTCGGAACCATACGGTCCCAGTCGCCCACTCCGGTTCAATGTGGGCCACAGTGCCTGAACCACCTGCTTCGATGATGAGCCGTTTGATCTTTCCAGCCAGTGCCGCACGGCGGCGTCGCTCAAGCGGCTGACTAACCGACAGCCACAGCCTTGCAGGATTGCCATCTGCTTTTATCCCAAGCGTGATGTTCGCCCCATTCACCCTGCGGATGCATGCTTGGGCCCTGTCTCATACCCTCCTCGGATTCACCATCTTGCGGACTGAGAGGGATGAGGACAAAGCCCCGACGAACTCCAGGCACACAAGCTTCGCCCATGCTGATTTGAAGTTGTAGATCTCGTGCCATTTCGTTCGCCTTTTGAAGTACTTCGCTTGCTGGAGTGTCTGGCGGCCAGCCTCCCATGACCAAGGCTGGTGCTTTTCCATTGTCGACTGTCGAGGGCGTACTCCCCGCTGACTGGAGTTGCTTGACCTTACCTTCTAGCTGGGCCAGGCGCCCCGCCACTTGCTTCGAATCTGCAGCCAGTTCCGCTATTCGGAGCCCTTGCTCCGCTTGGCCTGACGAAAGCGTCTCGACGGCTTGAAAGGTGCGATCATTGTGTTGTTGAAGATTCCTCTCCAGTGCAGCCACTCTGTCGGTGACTCCGGAGACCGCCCCCTGGATTTCGCCTCTGACAACCTCTCGGATTGCATCCAGGCTCAAGCTTTCATCTTGCGGCCCACGTTTCCTGGCAGGGGATTCCATGTTCGCTTGCACCTCCATAGGGGCAGCACGACCGCTCATTCCCCCGTGACCCGGTGAAGAAGCCGTAGAGCCCGTTGGAGGCAAAGTTCCGAACGGGCAGCAGATAGGGGACACCGTACAGGACCGTTGCACACCGACTTCCCCCCTCAGAAGCGTCCGCGAGGAACAGGGCAAGGAAGCCGTAGGCACCGTTCAGCAATCGCGGCGGGTTCAGAGGGCAAGAAAGAGTTTACAAGGGAAGGCCCCCGGGTTGAGAACAGCCGGCCTCACTAGAGCGAGAGGAGAGAGGGACTACCGGGCAGAGAGGCGCGGCCTGTCCTTGAACCACTCGCGGCTTGAGCCAAAATGGCTTCTCTCTCTCTCTCTCTCNNTCTCTCTACGAGGCTAGGAGCAAGGGGCGGTCCATCCCCCCGCTCCGCGCGCGAGCGCGCACCCGCGGTTCGTGGGTGTCTTTGACTTCCCCCATGGGCTTTGGCCATAGGGGCTCGGCTGGAGAGAAGAAGACTGGCAGGGTTTCCCAGAAAGTGCGATCAAACAAACGTCACGCGTGCAACAACAGTATCCCCCCTTTCAAGCCCTGCGAGCCTCGCTTGGGAGCAGTTTGAAAAGCGTGCTGCTCCCCCACGATTTTGCGTGAGTTGGGCTTACATTGAATTGCCATGGTTGGACTGGGATTGAATTAAGCCTCCTGCCCCCGAATTCTACCTAGTTGAAGGCGAGTTGAAAAGAAACTTGGATTGAGGGCGATGTAGCCCCATGGCATGGGTTGAATGAAGATGGGCTACATGGCCCAGATAAAAAGTTCACGCCTTCACAGGTATTCATGGAAATTTCCCCCATGCACAATGGCTACTTGGAGTGTGTTCCCCCACTGTATGCTGTCCTTGGTAAGCACGACAACTTCTACAACACAAGTCACAAGACAACACACAGAGTATGAAATAAGATCAGGGTATGCCAGGACGTGGTGGTCTCCGGAACGTAGGAACCGTTACAAAGCCTGCTCACTCACAGATGCTGCAGCATCGAATTTTTCCGGCAATGGTCATGAGGACCCGACCTGCTCGGCATGTTCCCCCTGTATCTCGCCATGTGTGCTTGTACTTGCCGAACTTGCCAGCTGAGGCTGGGAACAAGGCTCACGTTCGTCCTGTCCCCCTCTGTCTGTCTTTCCCCCGCCACATTGAGCGGCCTGGTTGTGCCGGGGTTTCGCCACGGCGGCTCCCCCACCGGTTCACTGGGCCTTCTCTTTGGCGGCTCCCCGGCAGGCTCGTTGCGTCTCTCTGCCATGCGCCGGAGCTCTGTCCACTGTCAGAAGGTCTCCCCTCCGGTCCCCATGACGATTGGCTGTCTGGTGCCTCATCCCCCTCGCGGTCTTTCTGCGGCTTGCTTGCTGGACTCTGGTCAATGCTGTCGTCGTCCCCCCAATCCGGTGGGGTGTCCTCCGAGGCACTTGCTTCACTTCTCGCACACGGCAAGGTTGCATCCCCCGCTATAGTCTTGGGTTCTGCATGGCCTTCTGCACGTCGTTGTTTTGTCCCCTGGCTTTCAAGCTCTGGTGCACTCGAAGAATCCGTCCCTTTACGCCAGTAGCTTTTCGCTTCCCCCGCCATTCTGCTCGGATCTTCTTGCGTATTTTCCAAGCTTGCTGCAACATAGTTTTGACGTGGTCGGGGTACCGCATGGCATATGCCCAGTTCTCATCGGCGATCTTGGGCATTTAGCGGTCGACTGTGCGTGCTAGTCGGTCGGCCACACGGTGACTTTCACACAGACGATGCCTGTACCGCTCGTAGTTTTCTACTTCTTCTTGGTTGAGGAGTTCTCCCGTCTGGATGTTTTGGTATCCCCCATCCTCACATCGTGGTCGTAGAGCAAGTGCAGTCCCCCCCGCGTGACGAAGTGGGTCTTCTGGTCCAGGCTCGCTGTTGGAAGTCTCCCCGTCGACATTCGGGGTGCTGGTGGCACGGATGGGTGCGACTGCATCGGGCCGCTTCCTTGCCCGGTCACCCCATGCAGTTTGCAGCGCGGGTCCTCACGCACATGGGTCTGCAGATTTTACACTCCTGGCCTCTATGCGCAGCCATAACGTAATTCGAACTTCACTATGTCGCCGCTCTTGCCACAGTCACGATCTCTGAAGTGACACAGTCCCCCGCCCAGCTTGGTTGTAGACGGCACGAACCCTGGTCACCTGAAAGAGAAGGTTGTCGAGCAAGTACTCCGTCCCCCCCCCGGGTAAGAAGGTCAAAGAGGAGGACCTTGCAGTCACTAACTAGGTCGCCGGACCCGTTGTAGTGCTGCAAACTTGCCGTCAACGGGTATGGCTCTCCGCCCGGCGCGGGCGCGACTAGTTACTTGGAGGGAGGACTCGAGGGGACGGAAGTTTCCAGAGGCACAGTCAGGAAACCCCCGCCGCACCCCCCCCTTAAGCTGGCGATGAACAGGTCGGTCTGGGAGCCAAAATCTTTTCTTTCGTCAGGGCTATGGGCTAGAGGGAAGCCCCCCCTAGCCAAATCTCTCTCTCTCTCTCTCCTCTTCAACACAGTCAGAGAGCGGGCAAAACCCCCTCCCGCGTGAAGCCGCGCCCTGGTCTCCCAAGTCTCTGTTGAACCTGCTTCCAGATGAGGCCTGATGTTTTCACAACTTTGGAAACCCCCCTCAACCCACGATCCCGCGGGGGCTCGCTCTCTCTCTGTCTGTCTCTCTTTGCTTTGCTTCGGGGTTGAGGTGTGGGCAGGCCCCACACCCCGCACTCCAGGCGCACCCCCTCCAACATGTTGTTGGTTGGGGTGTCTGTAGGCTGTTCGTAGGTGTGAAAACGAGAGTTGAGTGCGCGCCACCGTGGGGGCAGAAACAAACACACAAACACTGACTAAACATAAGTGGTGCCCCGTGGCTGCACTCCCTGGGTTCCCTACTCTGAAACCGACCTTACCTGCCTGACCCTGCCTGTAACCCGAACAGAAGCCTCAACCCCTCTGTCTCTCTCTCTCTCTCTCTCTCTCTTTTCTTCCTCAGGGCATAGGGGGCGTGCGAAACCCCCTGGCCTTTAGAGGCCCCCCATTGTTTGGAGTGTCTTTGAGGGAGTGTGAAATAACGATGGTGTTTGGTCCCCCGAGAACCTAGGATGAAAGATAACAATTTCAGTACAAGCCCACCTCTCTCTCTCGCTCTCTCACAGATCATAAACCTAACCCGCATGTTAGGAAATGGCTCTGCTCCTCCGGCAAATTGATGAAGGGACCTCAGCTGACGTCGAAGGTTAAGGCAGTGATGGCCGATGAAAAGACAAGCTCCAGGCCATTTGGAACGTCGGCGCGCTTTCTAATGTCACCGATCTTGTAATCCTGCCACCGAAGTTCTGTCCGTTTCGGTTGAATGCAGCGACTTCTGCGAAGAACCAATCTTGCAAATCCGTCTTTTGTTGAAGCAGTCTAACGAAATGGAGAAGCCTGATGTTGATGGTGCATGATGCACTTGCCTTCAGAACCTCGCCGTCTGCGAAGACATCCACCTGGCATGCATGCATGTGTCGCGAATGCTGCCAACAGGGCGGTCACAAAGCACATGTGACAAAAGAGACAGCAGCACCAGAAGGTCTTTCTCTGGATCACCCCTGGAAGCAGAGTGAGACAAGGCTCAGACTCAAAAGAACACTTCGACCCGTCTGCCTGCCGCTTGCCACGGTGACGTATTTGCCATCTGGGGTGAAGTGCAGGTACCCAGTGCCACCTTAGAAGAGGAGGTGCTACTGCCCACACGAAGTCGCCTCCGAGACCCTGGAGGCCTTGCCTTTCACACCGTCCGGCCCTTGTCGCGGCTTGTACACATCTTCCGGGGAGTAGCTGACAATGTCCGACCTGGGAAACAGCCGCAGGTAGAAGGGACAGCGCAGAAGGTCAACTTGTCCTCGAGCTTCGAGCGCCTTCTGCAGAGTTAGTCGGCCTTTTTTGGAAGCCTTCATGCTTTGAAACCCCCGGATCTCAAGGAAGCGGTCCAGTCCCCTGTGAAGGCCTTGCCGTCGTCAGTGAGCGGATCCTTGAAGACGTCCCTGGCCTAAGTGTGAGACAACCCTGAGCAAGACCAAGTAAAGCGTGACTCGAACTGCATGAGGCCTCGCCGTTCTCAAGCACGATTTCCGCGCACTTGAACGCGACCTAGTGGCTTACAGCAGGAATGAGAAAATATCGCACTACAAATCACTGGAGGATCCTCGTAAGGTCCTAGTATCTTGATTGAAGGCAACAATCCGCAATGCAATGCCCGGCCTTGAACGTGTCGCGATTGACCTTCTGCAACAAGGCGCCGCCTTAGAAGATGATTTTCCGATGTGTTCGAGGCGATTCAATCAGCATCACTGGCTCCACGCGGTTTGAGCTGAGCTGCCACTTCCGAACGTGATGTTTGCGGCAGCGATGCCCTCTTCCTGATGGCTGCATGCCCACGACTCACAACTGTCATGCCCATGCCAACGATCCAACACGCCTTGAAGCGCTTCAAAATCTTCGGAATGGACTCGTAATCAACCTTAACGGGGACACTGACGGTCTGCTATCTGCGGCCGCGTGACGCATTCAGTCTCAGTGCCAAGCACCGTCACCCTGAATCACGCGGATGCATGGCGGGAGCAGCTTGTGCCCAGTCCTGAGACAGACCCCCTGAGCTTTGCTGCTCGTTCAGGGCTCAGGGGTTCCGCCGAGCCGAGGCACTTGGTCTCGGTGACATCCTCCGCGAAGCACTCAAGCAGGATCTTCATGATGGCAACCTCGGAGCCCGTGGTGACTGCACAGGCACCTCTCACCACGAAAACTGTGACCCCGACGCAGGTCTCTTCCGGATCTCCGCTGTCGGGTCGAACAACGAGCTGGCCAAAACTGCTCTCGCCTTTGCTACGGCTGCGAGGGCGTGAGAATGCGTGAGAGCAGGAGTCGAAGTTCCAAGGGACTCGGCATCGGCCTACCGGGCGGAATCCGCACTCAGCGCAGCACTGATGCGACCTTTGATCTTCTCTTTGAGTTCACCGCCCCAGTATTCCCTGGCAGGGCTTCTATTCCAAGCTACCGTGCTAGGCGTCCTCGTGACTCCAGAATGCTGTGAAGAACATATCTGCAGCTGGGACGTCGCTGCCTGCAAGCTTTGAATACGTCGAAGGAGTCGCTCACGCAGGCGACGAGGCCTCTGGTGCAAAGCTCCATATTCAGGTGGCCTCATGTGTGACAAGCAGCCCACAATGCCTGTTGGATACTGGTCCAGCATGTTTCGCATGGCATCGAGCTCGCCCTCAACGCCTCAAATCCGACCAGGTCCCAGAAAGTTCAATCGACTCGACTTCTCAAATAAGCGGCCCCAGGACGTGATCGTGGAGTGCTCCGATGCTGGAATCGAGTATCCAATGGCCTGCGACACCCGAGCTAAGTCACGGTCGTGCGCGCTTCCTCTGCACTAGCCTTCTTGGCACCGTAGTACTCTTGCGCAGCAGAGAGAGCAATCACGGTGTCAGATCCCATAAAGTTGATCAGATGGCCTTGCTTCTGCAGTCTTGAATCATGTTCTCGGAGGCCCGAACTGTATGAGCTGAGGCTAAGTACCCATGCCACCCAAGGCGGCTGACTCCACTGATGAGACTCCTCGGAAGCCGAAGTCGTGCAGCTTGAACGAGGAACCTGCCGCATGTCTGGAGATCACCCATATTTGCCAGTGTCACTATTGCTTCATGCTTTCGTCTTCGCAGGCCATGCTGCAACATCTGTGCAGCTGTGGCAGCGCAAACTGAAGACAGGCCGTTCCGAAGATCTTAGCAGGAAAGGATAATTACACCAACGGTCTGAAACTGCCTCCAACCCGGCAAAATCTCAACTTTCTGGCGACATCTCCGACTGACCCAGCACTCTCACGCATGGCCCCCAGGAACCTCCAGGAGGGGCCCAGTCTTCACAGCCGGTCTCCTGGCAAATGATTTCGCATCTTACCGCTTCTACATATCCATGTCTCAATGCATTAAGTCATGGTGACCTGTCTAAGCAAGCATGGCTGTCGCTATCAGTATCATTTGCTATACAGGTACGGATAAACCCAGAAAACACACAACTTCATACCTGCCTACCTACCTACCTAGCTACCTACCTACTTACCTCCATGCGTGCCTGTCTGACTGCCCGCCAACCGCGCCCTCCCACCTCCCACCCGCCCGCCAACCAACCACGCACCCACCGACACTGACTCCCACACATACAGTACTTACATGATATACATACATACATACATACATACATACGTACGTACGTACATACATACATACATACATACATACATACGGCCATACATACATACATACATACATACGTACGTACGTACATACATACATACATACATACATACATACATACATACATATGCACATATTCGTACAAAACCATGTCATGCAATGCCATGCCATGTTGCGAATCCACCCGCGCATCCATCCATCCTGGCATCCGTGCATTCATAGATGTATACACGCATGCATCCATGCATACACACGAGCATACGTGGCATAGGTGCTGCTTCATTTAAAAGCGTCTATGTGTATGCATCGTCGTCATGTGTGTGTGTGTGCGCGTATGTCCATACATTCAGACATTCATACATTCATACATTCATACATTCATACATTCATACATGCATACATTCATACATACATACATACATACATACTGACTGTGTGTGTGCGCTGGTACATGCCTGATCTATGCATATTTGAAGCAGAAAGCAGAGTCTGAGCATGGCGGTGAGACCTCCAAGTACTGCTGGATGGACAACTTCTGGTAGCGGCTGTTGGTTGCAACGGTCATGGGATACCAGACCTGTTCGTACACCCAACGTCAACTTTGCTGCTGCAACTGCAGCAAGGCGCATCAGCGGCAAGAGTCTTCCTGGCCTGCACCAGTAGCGTCTCCAGGAAGTTTGTAAGCCAGTAGCAGGCGGGGTCTGTGTTAACCACTGTGATGAGCACGGTCTTGGTCGGAACCACCTTATGCTCCCAGCATCTCGGGATGAATGCAGAGTGGCAACTGTAAGAGATCCAAACACGACGCAACCTCAGCACAAAGCAGTGCCCTCTGGGAGCGCCTGGACAAAGACCGTCCCGTGTCCAGGCTGTGGCAACTTGCAGCCGACTCTGCGGTGCCTTGATCTTGACCGGCAGCTTGCCACCATGCTTCTCGAGAATGTATTCCCAGCCCTCCTTGTAAAATAGCTCCTCGGTACTTGAGGAACATCACAGCAGCTCGCATCTGCACCTGAATAAGTGCATACAACGATGGAGCCGTGTCTGTAAGCATCGGGCTGGATTCTCACTTGTTCCATCACCGAAGTGCTGCGAATAGATCTTTGTCGCTGCATCAATCTTCTCTCGGGTAACCTCATGCTGCAATGCCGCGTTGCAACATGCGAAATGGCCGACAAAACCTTCGCAAACTGGAACTCGCGACAATGGCTTTCCGCAAGCACAGCGCATCGCAGTCGATCCATCAAGGCGTCAGGCTCCCTTTGAGAGGCCTTCAACTAATTAATTCTACTTGAAGGTGGGATTTGCACATACAAAAGCCCATGCAACGCCAGAATACCCCAGAACTTGTCCTTACAGACTCAACAGTGACTCAGCCACCTCCAGCTCCATCCGGAGTGGGTATGCTATGCCGGGGTGTCTTTGCCCCAGGCGCCAGCCAGGCTCCCTTTGAGAGGCCTTCAATTAACTAATTCAACTTGAAGGTGGGATTTGCACATACAAAACCCCATTGCAACGCCAGAACTTGTCGTGACAGACTCGACAGTGACTCAGCCACCTCCAGCTCCATACGGAGTGCGTAGATCTGCTATGCCGGGGTGTCTTTGCCCCAGGTGCTGGAGAATTTTTTCAATGTCGGCCTCAAAGGCCTTGTGACGCCGATGTTCATGCAGAAAATGTGATAGCTGAAGTTCTGCAAACTGCTCCAGCTCGAATGTCACGCTTCGCAACTTCCTGCGAAGTTCGTCTGCAGCTTCTTGTTGGTCCGAGAGCATAAATCGAGCCACGTCCAGCTCCGTACGGAGCTTCTGTACTGGGCTCGGCTCCTCCCGAACACTGAGCTGCATTGCGGCATGCTCCATGAGTGCTCCCAACAGCTCCGTCTCGCACTGTCGTGCGGTGCATGCCTGAAGGCTCATCTTTTCCGCTCTCTCATTGTTCTCTTGCACCTGGCGATGCAGCTCCTTTGTCTTCTGCTGCAGCGCAGCATGGGCCTTTGCCAGTTCCGTGCTCAATTCCTCCAGCTCAGCTCTTTGCGAGTTGATTTGTTCTTTCATCTCCTGCTGGTGTTTTTCGCGCCTGCGCTGCTCATCCTTCAGTTGGGCCTTGAGCTCCTCACACACTCTTTGGGAGTGGTTCAACATCTGCCTTGTCTCCTCCAGAGAACTTTGCAGCGAACAAATTTGCTCTTCGAGCATGCTTTGCTTTCTTTCCATGTAGAGCCGGTCGGCAAGGAGAGCTTCGAAGAGCTCTGCCTCTGATTCTTTTTGTGGCGAGCGGCGCGCCGCGTGTCTGAGATTGCTGGCTTGTTGGAGGACTCGTCTGGAACCTGTTCGAGCGCCAACACTCGCTGGCGGTTCTTAGCTTTCGACTGCCACTGCAGCTCGCAGAACCATTGCGACGCACCGGCGAGCTTTGTCCACATTGCCATGCTCGCAAGATGGAGTGCTATATAAGTCTGTCACGACCCCAACCAACGCATGAGCTCCGAAGCCCGGAATCCTCCTTCTTGGCACCTATATACTCATACACAGACAGTTAAAAGCCCTCAAAAGAGTGCATGAAGTTCCAGTCACTCTGCGCCAAAGGCTCACGGAAAAGGTCGATGCACTGTCTATGTCTATGTCTATGGAGGCAGGAACAACGGAAGGCATCCGGGGAGACCAACGCTTGAGTTTATCTTTTCATGGACGCAATTGGTGCGTAGTGGCCGCTGCAGCAGGCACAGTAAGATATGGCCAAGGTGCCACCTTCCCACTCAGGTAGCGCTTCAAGAAGTACTGCAGGCCTCATGAACCGAATAGGTTTGCGAGAGTGGCTACAAAGGCTCAGCCAAAAATCAAGGACCCCGGGCCGAAAAAGCAAACTTCATCCCAGCCCTCTCGATCGCAGCCGCGGCTTTCGAAGTAGCTGTAGACCTGACCAGTCCCAGGCATATCACCCCTTCTCGCAAGACTTCAAGGCTTGATAGCTTGGTCGCAAACGTACTGCGTCCCTGGCGGGTACTGACGCCAGTGGCTGACCTCGGCAGAAATCGGAGTTGCCCTGGCCATGGCTGGACGCCAAGGATGCCAAAGGATGCCTTGTAGCTGTCTGAGAGCAGCAGAATGTTGTCCATCCTCGGTCAAATTAGCTGGCGCCCTCGGCGCAGGGAGGCGATCTGGGAAGCTCCCTGAGCACTGCGCCAAGACATGGTGCAGTGGCAGATGACGGCGGCCCAGCCAAATACCTCCCTCGAAGCAAAAGCTGGAAAGGTCCGAGGGTCGCCTGCCTTTCAACTTGCTGTGATACATTGATCTCACTGCTGTCACACCGCTCACATCCGCTCACGCCACGGTCGACATCTTCCACCAGCAGCTGCCCAGCTGCCGAGCTGGCACTTGGGTCTCGGTCGGTTGGGCGCCTTTGGCGCTCGCCGACTGCGAGAGGACGGCACTCCGGATCCACAGCTCAAGCTATGGCCAGATCTCTCACGGTCATGCGTTTTGGTGAAGCATTCGAAGGAAGCCTGGCCAGGGCTCGGGCCTGGGGCCGGTCTGAGGCCTCTTGGGCCTCTGACAGAGTTTGGCGACTTTGGCGACGCCCGCCCCGCGCTTCGGGGCAGGCAAAGTGAGACAGTCTGACGTCTACGGCAAAAACCCCGCGGAGCCGAGCGGCTCACGCAAAAGTCGTGTAAGGGCCTCCGCTCTCCCCAAATCACAGCTCTCGCGGAAGTTTAGCTTTGCAAGGTCTTTCAAGCTCTGAGGGGATGGCCGCCCGTGTCCCCTGAGCAGCTCGCGACTATTCTCGAGTGCATGTGCTGAAAACTTGCCCGTGTCCACAGCGGAAAGAAACTAGACACAGGCTTTGCATGCATGCGAACATGCTCGCATACTCACACAAGCACAGAGAGATGGGGAAAGAGAGCGAAAGAGAAAGGGAAAGAGACAAACTAAGAGCAAGGAGAAAGCGAAGACACGCGGAGCCACATGCCTGGTCCCGGTGAAGTCGCTTGCCGCGCCGCCGCTCTGCGGGCTCCCACTGAGAACCTAGAAAGAAGCAAAACGGGGGGAGCGGGGCCAAGCTCTGCAACTCCCAGCATGCTGGCACGTCTCTTGGAGGCACACTTTGGCCCCTCACCAAGGGAGCTGGGAGCATTGTACCTCAAGAGAACAGATGAAAAAGACCCCGCCTTGCTGTGTGTTCTGGGATCCAGGCGAACCAGGTCCGGGCAGTTTCGACATCTCAGTGCCAATTGGACATAAGATGTGTTCTGAGCTGGCCTTGACAGCTGCTATGGTCGGGACCCAAGCTGCAGATGTACTCTTCCCTGCACGACAAGCTCAAAAGCTCAATCATTCCGGGCTGGCATTCTCTTTTGGGAAGCCTTTGATGCCATTGACGGGTCGGTCCTCCATCTGTTGCCCTGGCGCCAAAAGCTTCGAGACTTTCGCAAAGTCCTGTGGCACTGCACTTGGCCTTGGTCCTGACGCTTCGCCGTGCCAAAGCCCCAGCCTGGCTCGGTACGCTGCACCATGCTTGGCTACACTATGCTACCTTGCACTTTTTTACCCCTATTTTACATTCTACTATGCACTCTCGAACATTATCCGATGCCTAAAGCCTAAACCCTAAGCCCTAAACCCCAAACATACTCTGCTCGTCTCCGCACTTTTCTGGGCTCCTGAAGGCTCTGGGGCTCGAGCTCGGCAGGCGAGGCTTGGTCCGGCCAAGGGCTCCTTCCATGCTGCCGTACTGGGCCGGCCTCGGGGACCCGGGAAAGCTAATATCCTACAGTATAGCATGGTATCTTATGGTAGATTTATAGTGTATTATGGTGTCTTATGCTAGACTATAGTATAGTATGGTATCCTATGGTATGTTATGGTAGATTATGGTATACCATCTAGTATATTATAGCCTGTGCTGGTAATGCTGGTACATTATGGCCTGTCATAGTATACTTTAGTATATTATGGTATATTGTGTTATATTATAATATATATATATATAGAATCTTATGGTATAATATGGTATGTTGCAGTATGTTAGAAATTAGAATACATTAAGGTATATTATGGTATATTATGGTATCTTATGACATAATATTGTATATTTTTGTACATTCTAGTATGTTATAGTGAAATATGGTCTATTTTCATCGTATTTTATAATAGAATATGGTATATTATAGTATGTTACAATACATTCGGACATAATATGGTACAATATGGTATACTACAGCATATTATGGCATATCACGGCATACTACAGTGGATGATAATATGCTAGCAAATTATAGTATATCATGGCACATTATGGCTTATTATAGTATATTATAGTATGATGTGGTATCTTACCGTAAAATCTGGTATATTCTCGTAAGTGGTATAATATGGTAAATTAGAGTATGCTTTAGTGAATTGTGATGTAATATGGCATATTGAAGTATAGCCTGGTATACTTTTGCACATTATAGTATACTGTAGTATATTGCACATATTATGGTATATTATGGCATATCAGAGTATACCGTGGTATAACATTGTATATTCTAGTATCTTATGGTATCTTATGGTCTAGTATGGTATATTCTTGTAAATGATAATATATTATGGTATAACATGGTATATTATAAGACATTATAACAAATTATGGTAGATTATAGCATATTGCGGTGAATTATGACCTCTGCGCTGAAAGTTTGCGCTCTTTTGGCCCATCTTGGCCCCCGGCCCAGGAACCAGAACACCTCCGGCCTCGCCACTCGGAAACTCAAAGCGCGGCAAAAACGGGGCAGTGTGTGTCAGCTTGCCTTCGCGGCCCTGCGAGGCAGAATGCTGTACCGCGGCCTCGGTCTGCAAGGAGCATCCAAACCACGTTATACCATAGTATTCCTTTAAGATACCATAATACACCATAATACACCATAGCTGAAGTCCTGTCATTTAGGGGCTCCGCCCGTCAGGTTTCGCCTCCTGGACGTGCGCACCAGGGCCGGGCCTCGGTCTGCACCGGAGATCAAAAACATGACCATAGCCTCGCTCTGAAGAGACCTACGTACACGCATACATGCATGAACCCCTCCATCCATCCAGAAATGCCATACCCTACCATAGCGGACATTGCATTACATTGCATTGCATTGCACTACATTGCGTGCAGACATACAAGCGTACAGGCATGCAGAATTCATACCTACGTGCCTGCCTGCCTACCCTCCTGCCCAACACAGTGCAAATCGCTGAAAGTCCAAGCGACATAGCTGGGTCATTCTCAAGATCGGGTGATCCAGGCCACCGTCGCGGAGTGAGGGAATAGGCTTTGCCAGAGCCAATGTAGCCTCAGCAGCTACAGCAGGAGGCGAGACCACCAGTTTCGACGAGGACGCCTCCACTCAGAACCCAACTGCTTGAGGCTCGCGGATATGCCCCTGGCCCAGGTACAACCAGCTGGCTGTTTGCCTGCGCACAGGATTCGCTCTGCACCGCTTTATGTGTTGCTTGAGATAAACCTCTCAGACCGTTAAGAACGAAGATCAGAAACTCAGAAAACTCGCCTCTCTCGGACCAGTTCCAAAGCCATATCCAGGACTTCGTCGATGGCGAGAGGAGTATGCCTAGCCGTCACATCCGTCGAAGTTTCAGAGATGTTTACGGCAGCATTCCTTGCCTCGGGCGGCGTGTCAGCGCCTCCATATTTGCCAGGCCTGGGACGTAAAGAAAAGCACGAGGCAGACTTGTCTTTGCCGGGAATCCCCTTGGACATCGACCCGGGCACTTGCACTGAGGCCCGAAGGCTGCGGGTCTTGAACCTGGGAGACACGCCGCGGCACTGCATCTTCGTTGCTGTGAACAGGTGTGAACATGTGCAGTTTTGATACAGCTCCCAGCCTGTCCCGCGCCCCACGGAAGGAATACTTCGGAGCACGGCGAAGAGTTGACAAGTGCATTACCTCGTTCTGCTGCTGCCATCGTCTGACCCTTGCATAGGCGCTGTGGCCGCGGCAGACTGGCCAACGGGCCCGCCCTAGGCTTGGCAAAAGGGAGTCATGCGGGGCGCAGAGGTTCTCTGACTGAGAGGCATCGGGTCCCGGCCTTCTCGCGCTTCGGCGTGGTCGGAGTTCTGGCCTCGGGGTTTCAGAAACGGCTCGGGGAGTGCGACGGGCAGCCATGGTACCCTTCGCTCTAAGTTTGCCGGCTGCACTTGCCGAAGATGGCGACATCCTTAGAGTTCAGGCGCCGGACCCACACACCTGCACTTGCATCCAAAGCAAACACCAAGACATCCAAGAGGCTCCCTGGACTCTTCTGGCGGTACCTCCTGCGACTCCTGGAAATATCTGCTGATCTTCCGGAAGGAGCCAAAGACAACCCGGCAAAAACACTAATTGCCGTTCAAAGATGTACGCATGGGAACCAATGGCAGCTGGAGGATGCTCCTCTGACGGCTGTCTATTTTGTGCTCCTAGGCACACGCTTCAAGGATCTTCAAGCCACTACTCGGAGCTGCTTCGCGTCACATCAAAACAGATCCGTGCTCCTTTCTGAGCTTTGTCTGACCCATTGCGAGGCGACTTCTCCATGAGATGCCGCGCGCATACATTAATAGATCAACCCCGCATGCCAGAAAAGCTGTGTCTGTGTCGGTTGAGTCCTGACACAGCCTGTCGCTAAATCGCTTTGCGACTTCCGAGGGCTCTTTGCCTCTCTCGAATGTCCACAGTGTCCGGAAGGGCCGCGGATTGCACGCATGCACTCACATGCCGTCCTCAACCGAAACAAGCGTCCGAATCTCTGCAACCCGTGCACAGAAAGCTTTTCCCGCGACTCGCCGAAGCGGACGGTGTCTAAAGCGGAAGTGAGAGCCCCTCCGTTAACATCAAAGTGTTGCCTTATCAGGAATGGAACTGCTTGCGTCCGTGGGCTCAAACCACTAAGCATACCTGTTCCTCTGCTGGTGAAACACGAACGAGATGAAAACAAATCAGCCAACCTTCTTGATGATCTGCACGACGTCCTTGCCATCTTGCACCATCCCGCGGAGCAATACAACTCTGCTTTCTGTGCCTCGTCCATCAGCTCGTGGTCTTTCCCACATCTTTGAGGATTATGTCTCGCCTGACAGGTCAAAAATGGAGTTGGGCAGGGAGAGGGTTTGCACAAGAGCGCCGGCAGTGCGGACATTCCCCAGACGAGTGCGACTTTGAACCTTGGCTCCGAGCTCACGTGCTTCCGTGCTGAACTCCACCACACGGTCGAATCTCAGGCGGAAGCTGCGCTAGGAGAGACTTGTGTATCCGGACGCAGAAGTCCTGGTACGCAGCTGTGGGAGAGTCTGTTCCCCCAACAGGGAGAATTGGCACACCCTTGATGATAACTGTGGTCCTCAATCCTGTTCTTGTCCGCTGGAAGAATTACTGGAGCCTCCGCAGGGGACCACCCCAGCATCGCAGCTGCATGCTTTCACCGCTTCTGGGAGGGCGACGGTGTAATCTGGAATCTGTCCTCGAGGTTTCGTGTAAATCCTTGCAGGTGCGGTCTTCACATCGAAGACGCTCGACTCTCTGGAGATCCTTGCCTCAGTAGGCTCATGTATCTCCAGATCATCTCGACGAGTCCGTCCAGGTTCCACTCATGGTGTGCACAAATGGGCACGTGGTGGGGCACCTGCGACAAGGGCATCTGACATCGCGGCAGTCGGGCAGCCTCTGCACCTCAGCGATGATGTCGAGCTCTTCGATTGTGATCTGGTCGATCTTGTTCATGACATAGATGCAAGGGCAATACTTCCGGTTGCCCTGATCAAGGTGGTCTGTTTGCTGACTGTGCTGCCGACTAATCATTGTAACCTGTTACCATGCAAGTCTCTGGAGGCCGGGAAACAGCATGCTTTTTTGCATCCACTTACAGGCCTCAAGCGTGTCAATGATGTCGTCCATCGTGGCATTACATCTAATCGAGACTTGGGCATTGGAGATGCGATACTCTCGAAGAACCTCACAGTACCAGTGGTCCACCACGTAAGAGGCAGGTTCTAACCCGAGCTTCGAGCACCCATGATGCTCTCCTCATCGCAGTCCTCGCCATGCATGATGGACACGTTGATTTGCAGATCTTTGCAGCCAACCATGGACAATTTCATCTCAGTCAGCATGCTTCCTTTAGCACACAGCCCGGGGACACGTTAAGCGCGATCCCTCCTTTTTCCTGCGACAGCGAAACATGATCCACTGCTCAAGCTCACTCCAGCGACTTCAAGACATGCATGCCAGGTTGATGTCCCTCTTTTTGAACAGAATGTTCGGCGGCTTCTTGTTTAATCGAATCCTGGTTTCAAGAAGAATTTACGTACAGATGGAGACTAGACTGCTGGGGTGCGCACCCGAAGCCCTCGAGCTCATATTCGATCTTCCTCTTGTGTAAGATCGGCTTCATTACATCCAACACCTTTGATGCACGTTGGAGATGGGGAACTTGCAAGAGCCGGCGCCGAAACTGTGGAGAAGCTGAGGCGGCTTCTATCAGAATCAGGCTGCAGCTGTAGGCCACACTAATGACCTGGCAGAAACACGCACGGCAAAGCACAGCCTTCCAGGACAGCGCGATGCAGAAGCGCCTGCTTTCCACGGCCTTTGCCATCCTTGGCTCCCTCGATGATCCCGGGCAGATCCAGTAGCTGGATCTTGGCGCCCTGCGTCAACTTTGAGCCCCTGCAGGTTTAGGATCCCTAAGTCCACCTTATAGTTGAAAACGCCGGGGACACAGGTCAGAGTGGTGAACTCATAGGAGGCAACCTGGCAAGGACGAAACGCACAAACTGCATGAGCTCGTCCCTAAGCTCCAGGCCTCGCTGGCGCTTCCTGTCATCTTGTTCAGCAATGTCGACTTGCCAACCTCTGGACGGCCACATGCTGCTGCTGTAGACATGCTCGGTAGGTGGCCGGACATGCACCCGCCAGAACTCCGTGCTTAAACAAACAGGTGCAGACAGGCAGGCAAACAGGTCCCGAGAGTGACACATTTAGTAGGCGTGGTGTAGACGCTGGGTTCAGATAGAAATGACACGACCACGCATTGCTCACCACATGACTCCGGCAGCCGTCGGGCAATTCCTACGCCGACAGTGCCGAGGGCCCCTTATGGACATAGATGCCTGCACTACAGGAATGCTTTGCGCCAAGCCCTCGTGGCCAAGGCACGGATGGGAAGCCGATGAGGCCAACTCGAGCATCTCCGGTCTTGGAGACCTCTGAGCTTCAGCCGACGCGCTGCTCCGCGCTGCTCCGCGCGGCTCCGGCTCCGGCTCCGCGCCGGCCTCGAAGCCCTGCTGTCCTCCGCCTCCCCCGCTACCTTTCGTGCCCTCGGACACGATCGTCGCCCGAAGCTTTGCCAGCTTGGCCTGCAAGCGACACACTTTCGAGCGCGGACTGAGCTCCTGACTTGGTCACCAGCCTTGAGGAGGCCCAAGTGGGCATTTGTCGCTTTGTTTTTCTGAGTTCTGGCCATTTCGGCCTCTCCGAAAAAAGGGACAGCAATTCTGTCTATGGCACTCACAAAACCTTACATGCTGACCTCGATCTCAGCGATTTTCTGCAAAGCACTCATGGCTGCAAAGTTGCAACCGAGCGCCTCGAAAAAGAGCAAACATGTGTGCATGACACTATGACAGTCTCTGCAGAAACGGCATGCCAATGCGAACTCGCAGGTGCACCTGAAGGCAACTCTACGCGGCTCCTGGTTCGGGACGAGCGCGGCTACGCCCTCTGGAGCATCGAGCAGCGCACCAATGAATGCTTCGAGTTGTCTCGACCCTTCAGAGAATCGCATGCCCAAGCACAAGCTCAGCCTTTTTGATGGAAAGCTGAGTCAGCCGGAGATTCAAAGCACAAAGCCTTGACCCCACACAACTCACAAGGCTGACTCAGAGAGCAACCCCTTGCTTCTTTCCCCACCCATCAAGCACAGAGCCAGTAGTCAACTTAAAAAACGAATGAGTACAGGACCACTTGCCGGGCTACTACAATGAATGCACTGCCTCTGTGCGCACGTCTGTACAAAGAAGCTCATTCGTCTTCAACGGCATGAAGCGCCTCATGCCATTCATAACATCAAGCGGCCATGACTCCAGACCACTGCCTCCCTCGCTGAAACCCTGCAGCGGCTTCATGAACCCCGGATCTCTGTTGATATGGGTACTGTAGCTCGAAACTCGCCCGGCTTAATGCTCATTGGAGGGTAGGCCGAGATACATTTCCCATCTTGCAGATCCCCGAGCTTAGGATTTCTCGAGTTTGCCGGTGGCGATGTTGAGCCCGCTAGGCCTTTGTTTCAGGTCATAGGCTTGTGAGGCTTCCAGTTAAAGATATTGGTCTTGAAATGACTCTTCTGTTCTCAAGTTGCATCTTGACAGCTCGGACAAGTCTGGGCAAACCCACTTATCACCAAAGCTGAAGCGGGCCCTGGCCTGTTACGCTCCTGCTCGAAACATAGCGGCTGCTTCCTGGCACCGCAACAGCCGCTTCCCCTGCTCTACTCTTGCAGTGGCAATCATGCTCTGCACTGGCTGCCAAGCAGCGTCCAGGAGTCGCTCGAGACTAAAATCAAACGGCTTCACCGGCGGCTTCACCCCGCTGCGAGAGATCTCCTCCTGCTTGCTGTACTCATGGCTACCGGTCTTCATCGTCCGTCCATGCTTGCTTGTGTCATGTGCACTTATGCAGGGTCGAGTCACCTCCATGAGTCTCTCCAAATCCAACTCCAAGTCATCCCGGGACGGCTGAACAGGCTCGTCTTCTCCACCTGCAAACGGAGGGCAACATTGTTCAGCTCCTGACGGGAACGCCTTTCTCCGTGCCTTGTGGGGCGCTTGCTTTGGCGCTTGGGGGCATCTCATCCTGTCCGCTGTGCGGAGAGTCAGCATGAGGAGAGCTGTGCTTGAATACATTCCGGCATCTCAGGCTCTCAGGATCCATAGCCCGGCCCAGGCCCACTGGATACAGACCGAAAAGAGTCTTCGAATCAGAAATGTTCCCCTCCTCCATGAGTCGCTCCAGATCTAGCTCCAAGTCATCCTGCGAAAATGGCCCAGGGGATTACGTCACGGTGCTGAATCGCGGTATGTCCCACCTGTGATTGCTGATTCATGGTATCGGTCTGCCCACCTTGCAGATGCAAAGCAAAGCAGGCAGTTGCTCAGACGTCATTTCCAGCCTTGCGATGCCACCGCAGGGGCATTTGCGGGCATCTCCTCCTTCATCTACGCTTGGCAATTCAGACAACAGCATGAAACGGCAGAAGCCAAGAATTGCCTGCAAACGAACCCAACACCACAAGACTTAAAACTCCTTCGCAACTGCTCGCTTCGGGCCTCCATGAGGCGTTCGAGTTCCAATTCCATGTCATCTTGGGAAGGTATCGGCATCGTCGGCTGGCCTGCATGTTTTTGGGCTTCACCCTCTTCCTGATCTCGTGAATACGTGCCACCTTCCGCAGCGCTTGCTGCACTGTCTGCAATCTCAGCCTTCGGGACCAGAAGCACAACCAGCATCACGAGCTTGAACGAACGCTGCCGTGCAGCCTTGTCTAACATGGTGGGCGGAGCAGATGCCTCAGAAAGGTACTATCCAAACCAGCGCCAAGCCCCGCCAGCCCCGCCAGCCCGGCTCACTGACTGACTGCGTACGAAAAAGATCAAGCCCCAACGACACGAGGCCTGGTCCTTGACCGTCGCAGCTGCACTTGCTGCCTTCACGCAGTGCCAAGCGGTCGGCAAATTTAGCACTTGAGATATCAAGTACCCCAGGTGGCA